ACTAATACCATATTATTATTTATATCAGTACCAGCAGTAGCAAGAAATAGTGAAACTGATACAACAATTGATGGATACTTTATTCCAAAAGTATTAACAATTTATTTAATTCTAATTTTAACATCTATTGATTTATATATATCTAAATTTTTTTTCTTTTCTGCTTCTCATATATATCATTTAATTAATCAATAGAACACACCAATTGTAGTATCATTATATGCAGTCCACCATGATTCAAAAATTTGGGGAGAAAATCATGATGAATTTGAACCATCAAGATGGTTAGATCCAAAGTTAACATCAGAAATAAATAATTATACATATTTACCATTTTTGACAGGTCCTAGATCTTGTATAGGTTATAAATTAGCCACAATTGAATTCAAGATTATTTTATCTTCTTTGATAAGAAAATTTAAATTTAGGGAAGTTGAAGGTTTTCAGGTCAAAAAGAGAATTGGTGTTATTACTAGACCTGATCCTGGAATTGATCTTTATGTTTCAAAAGTGCAATAATAATAATATCTATTTATGATTGATATATAGTTGTTTATTTATGTTTTATTCAATGATCTTTAATAACAATTGGTGGGGTACATATCTAAAATTCCTCATCTCTCTATTTAATAAAATAAATATTTAAATATTTAACAAATAGACCTGTATAAATATTTTTCTTGTGCATCAAAGTCTCCTTATTACACATTATTTAGAAATGTGCCAAGATCATGGGAATTATTAAAAAATCTTGTTATTTTCCTTAAAGGATTACAAATTAATTGTGAATTTGCAATCTATGTCAGTTTCAGAATTTCAAACACCAACTTTACTTTAGAACGACTATTATCATCATTATAATAGTTCATTGTCATTTATTAATATATAGTTAAAAAAACTTTTATTTCTGCAATTATAATTGTAACTAGTTACATAATAGTATCCAAGTATGGACTGACCAAGTCGTTAATATCCTTGTCCAATAATCCTTCTAAGAAATTGCTGTGACAATTTATAAAAAGGAATTCAAATATAACAAATTGAGTTTAGATTCATTTCAAAATTGCTTCCTTGTGATACTGTTTTCGTCATTATGTCTTACGAGACATAAATAAATAATCATTTTCAATTACAGTATATTATTAATATTATTATTATTATTAAACAAAAGGTTCTTTTTCTTTGCCATTTTAATTAAAAAAAATTTTCTTTGTAATCCCAGATTATATATACAAATGTGGTGACGACAATTCTGCAAATTTATTTTCAAAAAGGATAACAGGATTTTAAATTACCATTATATCTCTTTTAAAAACATTCCAAACTTTAAACTTCAATATGATATTTACAGCACATTAAAGATGATTCAGAACAAATCTTGGGGAAAGTAATACGACATACCTTTTTATCTCCCAGCTTTGTTTATATTTTATAGGAGATCCCTCGAATAAGATTATTAGAACCGCAAATTACGGATTATCAAAGCAAAAATATTTTCTTTGCATTTCAATAAAGACTTGGCTGACTTCTTTAACAATAAAGAAGTAATTGCGAATTGTCCTGGTTTTTTGTGGAGGCAAAGCATCTTTATATTGACTTAATTTTTTTTTAACAGTGAAAATGATGAATAGTTGATAATTATATTAATATAATAAAAATTGGCAGGATTTTTAGAGTTTTCTCATTAAACAATGAATATTTTTGTTTATATAAACAATATTGGTAAAGAAGAGATGCGTGAATGAAGATTTATGTATTCACAGAATGATATTTACTTTTAAAGATAACATAAGACCCTGTGCATTTTAAATTGACGTGTATTGACCAATCGGGTTTTCCATTATTAAATCCGCATAATATTTATATTACTATGTATAGTAGATAAATAGAGAGTAAACCTTTGAATTTCTGATTCGTTTTTTTTTCTCCCAAAAATTTCTTAAAAAAATTAAATATATATAAAAAATGATTGATAATTTGACAGCTTATATACTTACTATAATTTTAGGTGCAATAAGTTTTTTAATTTATAAATCTTTAATCGAACCTTTTTACTTGTCACCACTACATAAAATACCTGGCCCACCTTCTGAAAATATTTTGTTTGGAAATCTCCTAAATTTTATGAATTCCGATGTAAATAATAATATCATTTATTTAAATCTTTTTTTTTCTGAAAAATAAATTTTTATTCCGAAATAATAACAAAATGTAATATTGAATTAAAGGTTGGAAAACCTCATTTAGATTGGAAAAAGAAATATGGAGGAATAATTGTATATCACGGATTTTTGAACCAACCATTTGTACTTTTAACAGATCCTAAATACTATCCACAAATATTAACTTCTTATGAATTTACTAAAGCAAAAAGTATGAGTGCTAATTTAAAAATTATAACAGGAGAGGGAATTTTGTTTGCTGAAGGTGATCAACACAAACGTCAAAGAAAAATGATGAATCCAGCATTCTCTGTTACAAACTTGAAAGTAATTATTATTGTTATTAATATTAATGTTATTTTAATTTTAAATTGAATGTTGTTTGATTAAAATCCAATTTGTAGGAAATGCTCCCTACAATCATCAATGCTGCTAGTAAATTAAATGATGCATTGAATGATCTGATTGGTGATCAAAATGAAAAACGAATTACAAATATTAATTCATATACATCAAAAGTTACATTAGATGTTATTGGCTTAGTTGGTAAGCTTTAAATATGATTTTCATGATATTTTTTTACACTAGCTCAATATATTATTTGCTCATTACATTTATCATGAATAGGATTTCAATATGAATTCAATTCACTTCATTCTAAGAATGAATTAGCAGCTGCTTATGAACAAATGTTTGATACTAAATTAACATTCAAGAGTTTCATGTTAATGATTTTGTCAAATAAATTCAAATGGATTAGATCTTTGCCATTTGAAGAAAATATAAAATTAGCTAAATCTATTAAAGTCACTGAAAAATTTTCCTTGGAACTAATTGAAGAAAGACAAAAACAGGCACAATTAAAAAAATTGGAAGGAAAAGATTTGTTGTCTTTATTAATCAATATCAATCAAGACTTGCCACCAGAAGAAAAAATGTCTGAATCAGAATTAAAATATCAAGTAAATTACATGCATATTATATTATATATTTTATTTTGTTATTTTATTTGGTTTTAATTTATTTGTTGTGTGATAGATTATGACATTTTTAGCAGCTGGTCATGAAACCACAGGTATTGCACTTGCTTGGGCATTATATTTACTTGCCAAGCATCCAGAGGTTCAAGATCATCTTCGTCAAGAATTATTGGAAGCTTCATCAGATCCTGATTTGGAAACATCATTTGATAAAATGAATTCCTTAGAATATTTAAATTGTGTATTCAAAGAAACTATGAGAATCATCCCACCAGGTATTTTTTTATTATAACTAATATATCTATACAATTATTATATATATACTAATACCATATTATTATTTATACCAGTACCAGCCATAGCAAGAAGTTGTGAAACTGACACAACAATTGATGGATACTTTATTCCAAAAGTATTAAAATTTCAATTTTAACATCTATTGATTTATATATATAACATCTATATATATACTTAAATTTTTTTATTTTCTGCTTCTCATATATATCATTTAATTAATCAATAGGAAACACCAATTATAGTATCATTATATGCAGTTCACCATGATTCAAAAATTTGGGGAGAAGATCATGACAAATTTGAACCATCAAGATGGTTAAATCCAAAGTTAACATCAGAAATAAATAATTATAACTATTTACCATTTTTAACAGGTCCAAGATCTTGCATAGGTTATAAATTAGCTACAATTGAATTTAAGATTATTTTATTTTCTTTAATAAAAAACTTCAAATTCAGGGAAGTTGAAGGTCTCCAGATCAAAAGGAAAATTGGCATTGTTACTAGACCTGAACCTGGAATTGACCTTTATGTTTCAAAAGTGCAATAATAGTATTATTATCATTGTTTAGGATTGATATGTAGTTGTTTATTTATTGTTAAAATTTATTTCAATTTTTCATGTAAAGTTTATATAATAAAGTAGGTATTTGAATATTAATATATATATAAGAAACCTATCCTAATAACAATGTTTAATGAGCCATTAATGTAGCAACCAAATGAGTAGTAGTAACGTTAGCCTCAATAATAATAATAGTAACAACAAAATCGACAATTTTTTAAACTAATAATTGAAATTATGGTTGATTCTTTAGTGACTATGGAACATATCAAATATAAATATATTTAGAAAACATAGAAACTCTAATGGTGGATCTAAATTTTCCAATAATAATAACAATAGCAATAACAATCATAATAAAGCTTGAAATAGGTTCAAAAAAAACAACGGTCCAATCATCAAAATGATTGAAGAATGAGTTGCAAATATCGCGCAAAAAAAATTAGAAAAAAAGCACGTGATATAATAATAAGGATAAAGGTCAGACCTACCCGGAAATTGTCCGCATATTATAGGTAAAAATCCCAAATATTCATATTGAATGGCTAGTTTAATTCTCGTTCTCTTTTTTATTCTGATTTTTTAGATCTCCTTAAGAAACTTATTATCAACTTATAAAGGTAAAATATTTTATAAGAAAGTTCCTTTGGAAATTTGTATATTGAAACTTTGAGATTCTTATGATTTATTACAATTGCAAAATACAAATTATAAATTCGTATAAATAATAGTTTTTTAGGAATGAAGTTGGGTTCCGGAAAATTTCAATTAATGAAATTATCTGTGAATTAATATTAACAAATATATAAATTATTTCATTCATTCACACTATTATCAGTTACTAGTTGCTAAAAAAAGCACACATATAATAAACAATAAAAAATTCCTTGGCGTAAAAATTCTCTAAAATTTCCTTTTGGGAATCCCGACTCCGAGATTGGCGTAAAACTACTATAATAAGCACTAATGGATAATTCCATAAAGATTTTTGATTACAACTTCTGTGGTACAAAGTGCTCAACACTACAATTGTGTAATATGATGTGATAGTGATATTTATTCATTGATATTGTAGATCAAGTGGGCATCTTTATTAAACAAAAAGGTGTGGGTGTCATCAATATGGGAAATTATTAAACTTTAAGATAGTGGGAAATTTCTGTTTTCCATAATTTGAACTCCATCGGAAAATTTAAAGTGTTGAAATTTCATAATCCAACTTCTCTAAGCCTCCACACTAGATTTGATTGGAAGATTTTTCAAGTATCACAACATTGTATTTTGTCTAAAGCATTATTACAGGTAATCGTAAATGCTTTTCACCTCTATTAGATCTCTTGATCCTATAAAAGACCTTCCTTGCCAGTTTATTTTCATCAAGAACATAGTTGGCTGATCTGTTCCCTTGCTTCAAAAACTCCCTCAAGTAAACTATCAACCATCAGAAACCCATACAGAAAAGGAAAGCTAAAATCCATATTATCCAGACATAATAAAAGAAACCTTGTCATATTATCAATGAGGAAGCTCCCCGAAAAAATACAAGCAAGCATATAAAATAGAGAAGGAAAGTGAAGCCGATGATTATGATTAGCAATTATAACTTATATTATTAAAAGTATTAGAAAGAAAAATTTGGTAATTCGTTATTTTTTATTTCTCCTTCCACTTTTATTAGGTAATAATAACTCATTTTCATTCAACTTTTTTCCTCTCTCTTCTTGGTAAACTTTGCAAGTAATTATCTCATCTTTAGATAATCCAAGGATAATCTGATTTAAATACATAAGATGCTTTTTTTTTCATTTTGCTCCTTTTCAAAATACTTCAGTTCCATGGTTTACCTTACGTAAATTAATTGATTTTGCATTTATGTTTTTATATAGGAATAGACCTATTTGTCATTTAGAAAGATCTTTCTTAAATAAATCGATTTTGCATTTATGTTTTTATATAGGAATAGACCTATTTGTCATTTAGAAAGATCTTTCTTAAATAAATCCACAAAAGAATTGTCGATTGGTCAAAGAGAAGAGGCTTAAACTTATCCCCGAAGAATACCAAGAAAGTGTAGAAAAGTCGCAAGCACCAAATGGCTTGATAGCTCAAAAAGACAAGTTGCTGCTCAATCAGAAAAGCATATTATCATCATTATTACTATTAGCCTAAAATGAAATTGAACCAGCGAATGAAGAAACTCGAGCTGAACTTTTGCAAGAATGTATTAAGAAAGTAGAGGAGAAAATTGGATGATGAGAAGTTTACAGTTTACAGTTTACTTTTCTCTGGAAGCATGAGTAGTTCACTGTAAGAGGATGTCTCAGAATTGCAAATGTATTAGGAAATAAAGCCGTGTCTGTGAGAAAGCAGGTGTATATTAAGCGAATACAAGATTTTACTAAAAATAAAACCCACCGATATCACATTACACAACTTGTTGTACAATTTACTTAATTTTTATTTATTGTTTAAAAAAAAAAAGTGTTATAAAAGATGTAATGGGAAACGAAAAAAGAATTAATTTTGCAAAAAAATAATTAATTTTGCAAAAAAAAAAAATTATTACAATTTTATTTAAATACTAAAAAATATGCAACAACATAGAATTAATAATAATAATAATCAACAATACCTGCCCCCATCCTCACTTTTTTCTAATATTGTTGATGATCATAATCACAATCAACGAACAACCTCGTCGACTCAATCGTCTCCAACAGCTATCTCACTAGAAGACTTTGAAAAAATTGTTGGAAAACTTCAATTGATTTTTCCAGATTGTAATCCTAATTATATTCGTAATTGTTTACAAAAAGAAATTAGTTCAAATCCTAATAAAAATTATAATGATAGTAGTTTTTTGCAAAGCATTGTTGATAAATTGTTAACAATTGATTATCCAAAAATTGGCATGCCTGAATCACCACCTCCATCTGCTCCCGAGGAAGATGGATTGATGATGAAGTTGATTGTTGATTTGCCACCTTCATATGATGAAGTCATCTCCACAACCAGGAACGCTGATAATGAAGGAATAAGACCTGAACCTCCATCAAGACATCGTCATCAGTCATCTCCTGGAAGCGAGACAAATAGTGTATATTTATCAATAAAATCAATACACGCAAAATCATCATCATCAGTATCATCATCATCATCATCATCATCAGTATCAACATCATCATCAACATCATCATCATCAAAATGTAAATCATCATCAAAATGTAGATATAAATCAGAATCTAATTATTATGATGATTTTAATAATATTTCAAATACAATAGATAATATGATTTTGCAAGCAAACTTGGTTGAGAGATTAGTAAAAAAAGATTCCAAAACTATAAAAAGGCCAATAAATAATTCAACTTTTAAATATTCATCATTGTCACCATCTTCTTCTCATTCCAATATTGAATTACCTATTCTACCAGCAAAAAATGGAAAACCAAATAGAAAAAAGTGTGTTTTTTCAAGGAGAAGTTACACACCAGTGCTATTCGATTATGATATAACAAAAAAAGATTATAAACATTTTATTAGAGGAATGAATTTGATAATAAAATTAGGATTAAAGAGACTTACAATATCAGAATCAATTTGTCATGATCTTAAGAACAGTAGTAATAATAGTAGTGCTAGAGAGGAACATATCGAGAAAATTACAGGGTATATTACAGAGTATATTGGTGTTTGGAATAAAGACTTTTTTGAACCTAGAAAAATCAAGATTAATCTTCGTGAAGAAAAAAAAGAAAATTCTATTGGGTATTCTTTTATAATTAAAAGCATTTAATGATGTTTGTTTATTTGTATTTACTTTGTTTATTTGTGTATTATATATTATTACCTTATATATTATTAAACAAATGAATATTATTATTAGAGCAATTATATTATATCCAACTATTTTGGTTGCATTCATCATCTTCATCAGTAAGATGATAAACAATTATTTGTAAGAATAACATTTTTTTTTCACTTTTCAATTTCAATAAAATTTCAAATTTCGTCATCGTTTTATAGATATACAATCATTTATCTTTGAAATCTTTTTAATTATGGACATTCAGAGTCTTTCCCTTAATAAAATCTCGGGCAAATTGAACAATTGATGATGTTTTGAAGAAATTTTATGGACGTAAATTAAATTTTGTCGTATATGTCCATTTTCATTTACAATTAAATGCTACCTATCACATTATCTTGAAAAAAAAATAATAGCTAGAAATTTTAAAGTTATATAACGATTTTGCTTTTAAATTTATCTTGTTCAAACCCTAATTTCCTACATTATAATAATCTGATTAATTCAACAATTTTGTTATGGACAAGCATGAATTTATTTTTAAAATGGTAACGTTTATATTTTCTAAATGTTACAAAGTTATTAGATGACATTTTTGTTTTTTATTTGATGATAAATATCACGCAAATAGTTATAAGTTATTATATCTTTGAAGATTTTTACCAAAATTTTGTAAGTGAATTGTTTCGAATTCAGCTATAAACTAAAGGGTTTTTTACAAAACATTTTCACGTAACTTTTTTTTTGTAAATCGGTCTACTTTCTTTTTATTTATAATTAAACAATGTAAAAAATACATGATTTTATAAATTATCACCATTTTTTTACTAATTTATAAACTTAAGCCATAGTTTTAAATTTTTCATTTCTAGATTATTTAATAAACTTCCACTTCACGCTCTTGGATTTTGTTGTATTACAAATCTTGGTTGCCACTCATAAGCTTGATAATATTGAAAAAGTTCTTTATACACAACACCTCTTCATCATAAAAATCCCTTGAAGTAATCTTATAAATGGAATAATATCAATATAAAATTTACGGGTCGGGTATTAATTGAGAGTTTCGCATTTGGAAGTTCTGTCAATCGTCAGAGTTTTGACAAGATATATACTAATTGTTCATTAGGTTTTTGAACTGTCACTAAGAAGTTTTGGTAAGCAACCTTAATCTCCACTCTATTTTATGTATTTCTTCATGAAAAATGGTTGAAATTGATTTAAAGAAATCTATTATTTTATTGTCATTTTCTTTATTTTTCATTTTATTAACATTTTTATGCACTTATTTCTTTAGTCGTTATGGGCTTTTCTTGGAAATTCGCCAAGACTTTGGATTTGTTTGTTTTATTGTTATGTTGTTATATCGTTCACATTTTTCATCGTTTCTTTTTATATAAATTTTTTTTGTAGTTTTTTCGATCCTCTTGACCAGAGTTGATCCCTCCTTGTTTTTCTCTTGTCAGTCTCTCTTTTCTCTCAGTAAAAAAAGAACTATGGACCGATACACTTTTGAACTCCTTTTAATCCCCATTTCTTTGATCACCGGATTGATCCTAACATTAATTATAAATTTTTTGATCTTCCCTTTCTTCTGTTCCAAATGTTTGTTCTATTATCCGTTTTCTTTCTTATTACTACTGGTTTCTTGACGTTCTTCCGGTTTATCGAAAAGAATTGACTTGTTAGTGGCTGGTAGCCATCATTTGGTAGGTTTTTATAATATTTTCATAATCCCGAGAATACATGAGTTTTGTAATATTTATTGATTGATTCGTGTTCGCCATGATATTTATAAAGAAATTTCCAATATTATATAGTTATTGTTGTTAACATCATTATTATTAGGCGGGAGAGCGAATAATTAATGGCAACAAAATAAATTGAGTGAATAAACTTTTGCCAGCGAATGATTTTTAGGTTTTATTTAATATGGGTCTATCAAGTCGAAACTTTGTTGTTATGGTTATTTTCTTTCGCCCAAGAAAAAAATACATGAGATTCAATTGATGGTAGCGGAATTTGTATTTAAAATTGTCCTGCCCAAGAGTCTAATATCTTTTCAATAATAATGATAATATATCATCAGATTCAGCCCCGGCCAGATGTTAAACCGTGTTTACAATGCTATTTTGTAAGTTTCTAACTTCAATGGAATTGGTTTTGTACTTGATGAAAAAAAACTTACCAATTCAGAAAACGTTATGGAATTTAAAAATTTTTCTATTCATTATTGTTATATAGCATTTTGTTCGTTCATTACGAAAAGTAAGGTTACAAAAAATTTTACATTAATGAATACAGAGCCAGGATAATTAATTGAAGTCAAATAATAATATTTATCAGACTTGATCGGACATCATAGGACATTATATATAGTTAATTGGGAAATTCACATCTTTCAAAAGAAATAAGATAATAATAAAAAACACTTGATCGTGATTATAATTATAATTCTTGGAAAAATTATATTGTATTTATATAATTTCTTTAAAAATACATTATATTCATTATATTATTGCTCATATCAACAACTCAAAATGAATATTTTAATATCCTGAAGCCATTCCATACTTCCTAAAATCTCCTGCGGCTTTTAATTGAAAATTATTATTATTTATTATACTTTTGAGTTATAAACAAAAAAGAGATTTTTTAATTATACATACCAAATATTGTTTGATTTTGTTGTTTAACAACAGCATGTACTCCTGATAATCCAACGGTAAGATTAAAAAGTTTTATCTACAAAAAACAATTTATCATATCAAAGATTTTATCTTCATATTATCTAAATAATAAATGTGATTTGTGTGAAGAACCTTACTTCATGTCCCCTTTGTAATAATTCTGGTATTAAAAAATTAGGATAACCGTACTCCATTGATACCTTATAATAATTAATAGTTAATTGGTTTGTTTGGTTGGTTATATATTCAAAAAATTAAATATACAAAATGAATGATTACTTCATTTGGCAATAATTGATGGTGTATTCTAGGACTTTCAATTGCTTCTAAAATATTCATATCAAATTCATAATAATTCAATATCACCTATATACATATATAGACATTAGCATTAATTTTTATCGCCTCTTTCCAAGATTTATAAAATTACCTGTAATACAGAACTTAGTATCCTTGTTCCACCGCTCCCACCAATTGCCATTTCAAATTCCCCGTCCTTTTCAATAATAACAGGTACACATGATGATAATGGTCTCTTATTCGGAGCTTCCAGATTAAAATAAAAAAGATAGATTATTTTATTATTTTTTACTTTTCAATTATTCCTGAAACAAAAAAAAAAAAAACAATATTTACCAATATAATTATATGGTGAAGGCTTCAGACCAAAATAATTTGAGATACCTGGAGTTGAGAAATCATCCATTTCATCGTTAAGTAATATACCAGTATCAGGATCCATGACTTGTGATCCCCATTTTATATTAACCTATTATTAACAAATGAATAATAAATATTTTTATAATTCCCAAAGTATTAACTGTAAAAATAAAAATTCTAATTACAGTTGAAGTTAAAGAAACTGATTGATTGTTTTTATCCACAACTGAGATATGAGTTGTGCCATGATCTTCTGATACATCATAAATAGGATTATAATATGGTGGTTCATGAGTTGTATCCTATATATATATATATATATATATATATATATATATATATCAATTCAATATACGTTATGATTTATCATTCCTTTATGGTATCACTATTACTTACATCTGAAATGTTTTTTTGAATTAGTGCAGCATAATCTTTAGAAACAATTTCAGCCAATCGATTGGTTATATTTACCTGAAATCGATTAATCAATTAGTTATAGAGAAAATAAATAAAAAAATATAGTATAAAAGAAAAATAAATTACAAATCTTGGATCACCAATTTCAGTTCTTAATGCAAACCCAACTTTATTAAGAAGAAAAGTTATTTTCAATTTAGAAAATTATTTTATATAAACCATTTCAAATATATATGATTCTACAAAAAAAGCTCCATATCTTACATTTTAAAGCTTCTACAATTCTAAGAAAGTTACTTTGATTATTTAAAAATAAAATAAAATTAACAACAACACTGACAATATTAAAAAGAATACCTGTGAAAATTGAGTCCAGTAAAACCTTCTGTTGACAATCTATATCTTTCTAAAATATTTAACATTGCTAATAAAATTGGTCCACCTGAAGGTGCAGGAGTTGTTATGATCTATGTTTGTTATCATTATTTTTTATTAGTTTTCAGTTTTTCAATATAATAAATCATCAGTGTCATTATTATAATTTAATAATTGAAAAGCAAAAAAGTCAATTATTTCTCCAACCTTTCTACCATTAAAAAATCCTGTAATTGGTTTAGTTACAATTGGTTGATAATCTTTTAAATCTTTTGACGTGATTATTCCATTTGTTGCTCTAACTTTTTTTACAATAGATTGAGCAATTTTGCCCTAAACATGCAATAAAAAACTTGTTATTATTATTGTTATTGTTGTCATCTCTCTCAAATCAATATCTTTTCACAAGTTAAATAAATAAAATAAAATACATTGTAAAATACTTCAGATCCAAATTTTGATAATAATTTTAATGTTCTTGCCAACTTATAATTTTTTACAATATCTCCTTCATTCAATATTGTACCATATGGTGCATATATGGCCGATAGGTCTGGATTACTTTCAATTTCTTGTTTATATTCCTAAAAAAAAAAAAATCATACCATTAATCAAATTCAGATTTATTAAATGTACAATATATAATATATATTACTTTTAATCTTCTTGCCAACTCTGGTGGAACTTTGAATCCACGTTTACTAAGTACGATTGAAGGTTCAAAAAGGGTTTCCCATTTTAACTTTCCAAAGCTAATTTTTTTAATAGAAAAGTCATCATTATTATCATCATTATTATAATAATAAACATCATTAATTAATTAATGCAAATTTTAATTTGAAGCTTTACTTTTTATGTGCTAATTCCAATCCACGAATCTCACCACTTTTCAAAACGCAAAAATTAATAGAATAATATTAGTAAGAATTAATTCGTTTTTCACCCTCATGAAAAAACAAAATAATATAATAACAAAAACAAATAATAAATAACTTACGGAACTCCCACACTGAGTCCACCAACTCGGGATAAAAGAGGATTATTCTTGTACATAAGTTTGGTGGATGCACCTGGAGCTGTTTCTCGGAAATCAATGGCTTGTGAAGTTCCATTAGAATCTCGGATCAGTATAAACCCTCCACTATCAGTTGATTTTTACAAGTAAATATCTTTATTTTATTTAAAATTCAATAAATCAATAATATATTATAGATGATAATTAATTACCCCCCTACACCAGCAGAATGAGAATTTATTACGCCAATACATAACTCTGCTGCAATTGCTGCATCAACAGCTGAGCCTCCTTTCTTCAACACTAATTATTATCAATAAATAAATTACGATCTTGTTTTATAGTATTAATATATTAATATATTTATATATATATACTGACTGCTGACTCCAATCTCGGAACATTTGATTTGTTCAGATGAAACCGCTCCATTTTGAACAATTACAAGGTTAGAATCACTTTTTATTTCATAACCTAAAGTTATTAAATAAATTAATAAATTTATACTTTTTACCATTAAATATCATTAATACTATTAATACCATTAATATCGTTATTGTTGTTATCAATTATATTATTGTTGCTGATGTTAAATCCATAACTGAAAAACCAAATAATGACCCTGATCAAATAAATCAAAAATATTTGCTGCATTTTAAATAATTTCTTTTCACTAAAAATTTTGATTATCCATCAATATAATAAATAAGGAAAATATAAATGATTTATGCATCTTACATGAGTAGTTCATGTCTATTACTATGTAAATTATTTAACGGAACTTAACATATATTGGTATGATATGATATTAATATGATTTAATTGGTGATCCGTCTATGAATGAGAGGAATGAGAGAAATGTCGATCATAGTAAAGTTTGTTGTTACACGAAATGTTATATAGAACCCATTGCTCCTGAAACTCCACCGGTGCCGTGTATTGTAAAGTTACATTTCAAATTTCCACTATGCTTAAAAATACGGGAAATTTTAATCGACAAAAAATATTCTACACAATAAATATTTAAAATCATGTCAATTGAAGAACAAAGCAAGCTTTCCACCAACCATTTTATATAGCATGTATTACTTGGAAATCAATTCCTCATATTTTTTTTTCACTATTTTTAATGTCATATTTTAACTTTAAATGTGTTAGTATATTGGCGTTTAATTTCACAATAAGAAAACGTTTTATTTAAAAAAAAAAAAAATTGTATATTAATAATATTATGGACTTTGCTACATTTTAAAAAAATTTATCTAATACTATAACTTTTCGTTTAACTGCATTTTTTGGCTCACAAAAACCATCACTATTTTGTAGGATACTAAAAATGACAAGATTGAATGGTGGGTAATTTATAAGGCATTTATATACATTGTTATTAAAAGTTTTTACAAAAGTTACAATGAAAACCCAAAGAGCGTTCAAATAGTCTACATTGTCATGAACAATTTACATACTTGTTTTTTTTTCCCGTATATTAAAAAAAGTGGTGGTGGTGATTATTGATCTATTACTTGCTACTCTAGTTAAAAATAAAGAAAATTTGAAGTGTATAAATATGATTGACTTTGGACCATCGAAAACATTAATTAAAAAAAATTTTTTTACACATTTAAAACAAATATCATTAAAAAATAAAACAAACATGACTTAGCTATTTAATTATTTCCTTGTGTGTGAATGCCTCCATCCCATCAAATATTCATGATGATCATGATTATTATGCAATACATTTGATGCTATAATTGGCATAACAAACAATTGCATCACCCAGGTAGTAATGATACCAAGACCACGCAGAAATGAAACTTTTAACAATGTGTGTCTACCCAGATCTCTGGGGTTCACAAGAATAAATGAATAGGAAGGATCTAAAAAAATTATTTTTCCTGATTATAAATCTGATATTGATCACAGGTGTCAGATTTAATTAAATTTTCCTGTCACCAACATTGAATTATCACGCTTCAGTAACTGTGGAATTTTTTTTTTCACAGACTATAAACTCCAACATTATGTGGGAAGGGGCTCCATGTTGGGAAGGCTTTAGACAAAACTTTCCCTCATCTTCCTCTCAGACCAGGCTTGCTGTTGCCATATGGGTGTTGAGGATCAGTATTTGTGTGTTGTAGCTCTCTATAATAAAGTTGGTATCTAAAACTGTTCAAAATTCTGCAACTTGGGAGATTGCAACCTGGTTTATTGTTTTGGATTATCCCTGAATTCTGAGTTTTGAGTCCTGAGTTGTTGTCTTGTTGGTGGCACACCAACTTTTCAGCTAGTGTGCCAGCAGCCTTCTCTGGTCTGGTGCTGTGAGGGAAGATTAGTGAAAGTGTCTTTGACAATTGATGCATTCTTAGGTGGATTCTGGGCAGGTCACCCCCCTGGTTTATGATAGATATACTATGACTGGAGTGTCACCTCCTGGAGCCAACCAACGTACATCGCGCAAAGTAATCCAATACATCATCATATCATCGGTCAAATCAAGTCCGATTAGCCTTTTGTACCACGAGGAAGACATCAGAATGACTGTAATGTAGCGTTCGTGCTTCAACGCTGCCAATTTCCGATAATCAAACATCACATACATGAACCGTTTCTTCGGTGACAGTCATGCTGCCTCGACATCTTCTTGTAATTATATATTTATATTAATATTAATATTAATATTACTGATTACACAAGCAAAAATATCAATCATTTATTTGTTTTCATCTTGATAAGGATCTTATTACCCAGCTTATTGCCCAGCAAGTTCTGCTCCACATTTCGATTCCAGTTTGAATATTTATAAACTAAAAAAGACATTATATTAATACAAATAAAAAATAGTACCTCCGTTATTTACACTTCTTTAGGAGACTCACATTTTGTCATCTTTGAAAACAAGATTGTTTTTTCCGAAAAAAAAAATATGTCTGAAACAAATCAAAAAAGAAAACAAAAATCAAGAGTAAGAAGTCATGTGATCTACAGGATTTTACTTTCAAAAGATAAAAAAAGAGGACAAATTTTTTTTTTATATATATATAAATATCCTACACCACCACGTCTTTTGTTTCAAGAAAAAAGATGTAAGGATGGAAATATATATCGGCAAGTCAATGACGTTTTGGAGGAGTCATCATTCACATACAGATTGTTATTAAATTTTTAAATCAATAAAAATAATAAAAATAAACATATACTAAATGACTATTATCCTGGCAATTTAACCAATGAATTTGCGGGATAACATATTAAATAACATGTTCACCTAACATTAAAAAAGTTCTTCAGTTAATTGGATTTTTTTTAAAAAAAAAATCATCAACAAGTAAAAATAAATATACCATTATTCTGGAAAAATTAACCAATGAATGTGTGAAATAACGTTCACCTAACATTAAAAAGGCTCTTCAATTAATTGAATTCTTTTTTTTTTTTTTCTTTTTTTTTTTTGAAAATTCTCCAAAAAAATCAATAAGTAAAAATAAGTATACTAAATAACCATTATCCTGGCAAATTAATCAATGGATGTGTGAAATAACATACCAAATAGCATATTCGTCTAATTTTAAAAAAGGTGTTTCAATTAATTGAACTCTTTTTTTTTTTTTTTTTTTGAAAAGAAATCTTTAAAAAATCAATAAGTAAATAAATAAAAATAAACATGCTAAATGACCATTACCCTGGAAAATTTAACCAATGGTTGTGTAAAATAACATACCAAATAACATGTTCGCCTAATGCTAAAAAGGTTCTTCAATTAATTGAATTCTTTTTTAAAAAAACTTTAAAAAAAAATCAATAAATAAACATATGTCAAACAATTTAAAAAAAAAATTCTACATTCCTTTAAATACAATGAACAAAAAAATTATATATCAATAATAATTGAGATTTTTTACATATATATATACAAATTTTCGCGCAAAGTTATCGGATTGGTCATTTTTGTGTCAATTTTCCTCCGCCGATCACTATGTCATTCATAAACGGATTTTATTCTTACGAGCACAAAATCAACAAGTAATGGAGCGAATTAACAATCCGTTATTGCTAATGTTCCATCCACAAGTTATCAATATTGATACTAATAAAGGCTCGATCATGTCAACTGGTTATAGACAATATTTGCATACAATAAATTATTAATGACAATTCAATGATGTATAATTCTCACGCCTGAGTTAATTACCAGAAGATTAAAAAGATGAATTCTTTTGTGGATGATTATAATGATATGATAATATTACTAGTAATATTCATCATGATGTATAACAAAGTACTTATAAAATGGTTTAATAGTAATTATTTTAAGTGCTTACTAAACAGGTTTCAACGGGTCCTATATTTGACGGGTATTAGTAATTGGCTAATGCCTACCTATATTAGTATAATATTAAAAGTTAAATACAATTAAAATGCTTAAATTTAAATGCTAGTCTTTTTAATAGTATTGATTTTATAATATATATTTAAAGAACAAACAAAGCAAATAAATTTATTGTGATTTTTTACATTATAAATATTATTACAATTATACACTATTACATTATACTATAATTATAAAATACTGTATCTATATATAATATTCTAAGTAAATCATTCTTCACGTTCTGCAACTTGCATCATTTCAAGAAATGGATTCATTCGCTCCACAACTTCGTTTTGAACCAATTTGATGCCTTTTGAAGGATCTAGATAATTTAATGTAACTGTCATTCTAAATGCAATGGAAATTTTTTTCTGTATTTGGATCAGTAAATGCACGATAAATAATTAAATTAGTTCTTAGGTATCGATAGATACCTACCTGATCTGTAGGTCAGTATGGTTTTCACGTGACCGAAAGGCACGTGAAAAAAAGGATATTGCCTATAGGAAATATAGGTATCCAATACCTATCTGATAAATGAATTATCAGTAGGTCCGACGTATTACTGGCAGAAATAAATTTTTTTTTCTTTAATTCAAATATAAACGATAAACTTCTTGTATCACATGATTAGAATATAAAGTTGCAAAAAATAAGTTAGTTTATTTCTGCCAGTGATTACATAGGACCTACCTGATAATTTACAATTGATTGGTGCGTTCGACTTATCGAGTTTATAACTTATTTAAGAACAGGTTTGAAACATTTTGACAATATGATATACAATAGATGCATTAACTTCTTTTGATGTTTGGTTCTACACAAAACATATTTTTTACACCAGTGTTTAATAATCTTTCATTTTCATTAAAATATTTTTCGATTATTTAAACTCAATTATTGAATTTTTTTTATTTGGGTGTTCATAAATAAAGTTGGGAAACCAATTTGTCTATTTTTAACACTAAATATTGATGTATTAATGAGGTCATGGTTCCTTATTTTTCCCTCATTTGGGATTGACACAAAGATTAAACCTACTATTTGAGCCACGAGGACAATTAATTCTTTGGGGCACAGTTCACTCATTCACTGTACATATAATAATAATTAAAATCTACATGCCCTTAACAGTTAATTTTACCATCAAAGAAGGGAATAATGATGCTAATCTCTCTAAATCTCTCCTAATATATACAGTCAGAACTCTAAACCGAAGTAATCATGTACAGTATATTCACTTTTATCAAACATCCTCTTAACAAGTTAGTTCTGACTGTATCCATATAGAGATATATTAAAAAAAAAAAAGCAGATCTTTCTAGAAAGTACCATTTTATTAATATATATACATATTAATATGAGATTTATTGAAATGTTGTTTTTTTTCTCATGAAATTTATTGTTGTCAATATTTTCCTTCTTTCCTTTAATTTTAAATGTTCTCGGGATTATTTTATTATTATTTTATTGTTATTTTCTTTATTTTTCATTTTATTAACATTTTTATGCACTTATTTCTTTAGTGTTATGGGCTTTTCTCGGAAATTCGCTAAGTCTTTGCATTTGTTTGTTTCATTGTTATATTGTTATATCGTTCACATTTTTCATCGTTTCTTTTATATACTCTTGCCCTAGAGTTGTTCGTTCCTTGCTTTTCTCTTGTCAGTCTCTCTTTTCTCTCAGTAAAAGAAGAACTGTGGGCCGATACCCTTTTGAACTCCTTTTAATCCCCATTTCTTTGATCACCGGATTGATCCTAACATTAATTATAAATTTTTTAATCTTCCCTTTCTTCTGATTCAAGTTTTGTTCGATTATCCGTTTTCTTTCTTATTACTGGTTTCTTGACGTTCTTCCAGTTTATCGAAAAGAATTGTCTTGTAGTGGCTGGTAGCCATCATTTGGTAGGTTTTTATAAGATTTCATAATCCCGTGAAACATGAATTTGTAACAAGTATAATGATACTATGAGTAATAAAATAAATTTTGAAATGTATTTAATATTTATTGATTCGTATTTATTGATGTTTATGACAATTATTACTGTTATTGTTGTTGTTATTATTATTATTATAACCATCATTATGTGGGAGAGCGAAATAATTGATAAATTGAATGGATCAGGCCAAATAAGCCTAGGTTTTATTTAACATGAGTTTATCAAGTCGAAAATTTGTTCTCAAGCCAAGGCTTGTTTTTCTTTGCGATAGAGTGTAACAAGCAATTTTCTCGTACGTGTTCATTGCGTTTTTAATGCGCGTTTTGTTCTTGCTATCAGGTAGTCCGACGTACTACTGGCAGAAATAAATTTTTTCAAATATATTCTTATAAACTTATTGTATCACATGATTATAATATAAAGTTACAAAAAATAAGTTTGTTTATTTCTGTCAGTGATTACATAGGACCTATATGATAAAGATAGGTATAAGTTGGATTATTGGGACTCAACAGGTTTGTTTAATTTCATATAACACTCGCGGGTAATTTCAGCATCCTTAAATCATCTTCGTTCTTCTTTTCGTGTAACTTTCCAATTTTCTGTTTTTAGGCTTAGAAAGATGGTAAATTCATTGTGGATAGTATCTTTAATACGCTGTATGATGTTGCTTCGTACTTGACATGAAATTCGCCGAGTCTGTTAAAACACAATAAATGAAATAAGTAAATAGCTTAATAATTTAATTACACCATTTACTTGTCAATGAATGAATATGTTTATTAAAAAATTGTTTCCAACCACCATTTTTTTTTTATTTTGAAATTATTCCTTATTTACATTCAACAAAACATCATAACATACTTGCATTAAGCATTCATCATTTGGATATTTACCTTCTCAGATTCAGCATACATATGTAAACTCGATAAGTCGGTCATGTGGGGGTAGCTCATATGATCGACTTATCGAGTAAACCGACTTATCGAATTAAATTACTTAAATATTAATGAAAACTTTGACCGACTTATGGCGAGACCAACTTATCGAGTGACCGACTTATCGAGTGACCGACTTATCGAGTTTACATATGTAAATTGCTTGACTGACTGTGTCCTATAATGTATGTGTAATAAACATATTTATTGTATTATTTTAAGAAAATAATAAGATAATGCTCAACTCTTAAATTTATACACTTTGTATTACTTTCTACTTGACTACTACCAAAGCCAGCTGCTTTCCAATCTACATACATTTCATTAATCTTTCTTTGGATATTTTGAATGATCATAGACATTTGATTCTGTATATTTTGCATCCTAAAAGAAATTAAAATAAATAAATAAATGATTATAAAAAAAACAATAAATTATTAGTTACTTACGAATTTTCTTTTGTACACTTCTATCTTCTCTTTCCATATCATTAATTATTCGATGATTTCTATTATAGTGACTGGTTATCTCATCTCCTGAATTAAATTCTTCTTTTATAACTTGAAATGTCTTCCTCTTCATTAAGAATATCTGTATATTCTGATCTTGGTTTATCTGGATAGGACTGTTTGGTGTACTTTGAATTTTTTCTGGTTCACTTTGAATAATAATCTGAAGCAAAACGTGCTGTACAATTTTATGTAATTTTTGTTTCCTACTATGTCCCATATTTGCAGAAGAGTTTTGTAATTTTGAAAAAAGAGTGTGGAAAAAGCAAACTACTAATGTTTATAATCATATTATAGAGTATAAGAAAAAAAGTTTAAAAAAAGTCTACGGCAACAATTGAAAAAAAGATTAAAATTCTATTAATTAATTAGTTTTTAATATAATCAGTGGACTCATGTGTGGACATAGTTATCGCAATCATTGTCTACAAAAGTGCCAATCTAAATGTTTGATATGCTTGGACTACCTTCAGGTCGAAATCGAAAAAAATGTCAACGCACTAAAAGAAAGTACGACGAAAAGATTAAACGAAAATGAATTTATCGAAAATAACGAAAATACAGTTGATGATGATCCGGGTAACGTTGAATCGGCTACAGATGATGCAGCAGCAATGGAAATTTTATTAGAACATGCAAAAAAAAATTTTTTGGATTGTTAATTTTGTTTTTATTAAATAATTTGTTAGATTTTTTCATACATCGTTTATGTTTGTCTTAATCGTATAACTTAAATTGTTTGTGTTTACAAGACATTCATTATTATTATATTAAGGTTGTTTTGATTGTATCGAGAGATATGGTTAAGAGAAGAGTTAGGAAGATAATTATTCTTCAACCAAGTCGAAAACCAACCCTTTAAATACATTTTCGAGTAGTGCAATTTAATTTATTAGTATTAGACTATTTCAAAGGTTTGTCGCATGGTTGCTTCCAACTCCTTAAATTCGAACCATTTGTTAATGAAACAATTGTTGGTGAAGTGATTGTTGACAAAATGAATCAAACCAACATTTATTTTTACGTTATCAAATTCACGATTTTGATTGGTCAATCAACAATTGCATGGGTTCTCGCGACATCAATATTTTTATAAATGTGCTACTCTTAAGCATGTAGAGCATTATACTTTAATTCCTATTTCTTCAATGATAAATAAAGTGCATATTATACCAAAATTTAGTAAACCGGGAATTTACTTTGTAAATAATTATATTAAATACTACCAAGTAAATAATTTCTTAATAATTAAATGCTTTTTAATAGTAAATTTACTATAAATGCTTAATTCATACATATCTTCATACTAACTAATAAATATTAAATCAAAAAAATATTTCGAAAGTATTTAAATTTAATGTTTCGTTAAAGCAACCCTGAGACATTAAGTCAAGTACAGCTAGATCTAATATGCTGCTGCTGTGATTTGAAACTCTTAGATTTCCTAAAACTAGTTGGGTAATTCAAAAAAGTTTAGAGTCACAAAATTGGTCATGTGGTCTATACAATATAAATTTCTGCTTTTGTCAAGATTCCACTTTCATAAAAATACCTTTTACATAGTCATTGCTTTAGTCATGTCACGTCAATGACTAGAGACAAAAGTTTTGCTATACGTCACTAGTATCTGTTTAAAGCTTGTCATGATAGTGATGTAATCAAAGTCTCTCTATATTTATATTCATATTTTTACCACGTTATTTTGAAGCAGAGTCACCATCAGTTTTTAAGAGAACAATATATATGTTTGTTATAAAGTAGAAAGAAGAGTTGGCGGTTTAAAACAATGCTGCATATTTAGTTATAGTATCATATGCTGCTGATTAAAAAATTGGTTTTTTGCAATTGCTAATTTTTGGCCACGCGGATGGAAGGAATGGTTTCTTTATAATTGATTGTGTTGAAAAACTTTTTTTTTTTTTTTTGAAGAATTATTTCACCTATTATCTATTATAGAGGAGGTTTTCTTGAAATTAAAAAAACCCTTAATAAAAAAGGCAGGAAGGCAATTTAATATGAAAAAAAAGAAAAAGAAAAGTTCTTGAATAATTTAAAAATACTATTGTCCGACTTGAAGGGGAGGCGGACCAAAACTTTGTAGGATTATAATCCTTGCGACAGGAACCTCTAATAATATATAAAGTCAAATTCCTCGTTTTAACGAGCTTCGTATAATTAAATTCGCGTTTTAACGAATTTTTGGAAATTTGTTACACATTATACTATTATTATTATAAAACAAAAATTCGTTGAAACACGATTAGTAATCTCGTTTCTTATACGTCCAGCCACTTCGTTGAAACGAAGTTTGACTGTGTATATATTTGTAAAAATTTCAATTTTGAGTCGAATAGCACATGTAGATCATATTATGCCTTTCAACACTACCAACGCTGTACCCACAATATATATTAGAATTGCATTTTAAATTATAGAATAATTTTTATTATTATATACGGTCAATTTATCATAGTAGTATATAGTAATGAAGGTAATTGTGTATTAAAAATTTCATAGTAGATCAATAAAAATGTAAGCTTGTGTCACTTAGATGTGGACTGATTTTTTTTAATTTTTTTTTATTCCTTCAAACAAATTAATTGATTTTATGTAAGTATTATTATAATTAATATAATTAGCTAATTAGAGAAACAGATACTTGGCTTGGTACATATTTTTTATTCATTAGTATGTGCATCACCGAAATAACATTTGTTAAAAACTTCTTTTTTCTCTAATTTAGTTATTATTAAAATCAGATTTTTTTGAAAGTTATTAAAATTAATGGATTTCGTTATTTTTTACTAGTAAATGAATCGACTTAACAACCTTACACGTGTTATTCCCAAATCTTTTTTTTTTGCCAATAATAAAATTATTTATCCTCTATCCTCTACTTATTTTGGTCAAGCTTCAGTTAATAAAGGTAAAACAAAACATTATGCATATGCATATTTTTATTAATTAAAATTTATTAATAATATTTATTAAAATATAAACAACAACAACAACATTATTACTATTATTAAAGGGATCAATAGATTTTATTCTAGTGGACATGAAGATGAATCTTTCGACGCATTCACTGAACGTTATATAAAATTTTTTGATGGAGTTGATGATCGATTTGAATTGCAAAGAGGTCTTAACAATTGTTTTGCTTATGATTTGATTCCTTCGCCTACCGTGATTGAGGCTTCACTTAAAGCAGCTAGACGTGTAAATGATTATTCAATTGCTGTCAGGGTTTTTGAGGGTTTAAAACAAAAGGTTGAGAATGATGGTCAATACAATGATTATTTGGAAGAATTGGCACCTATCAAAGAAGAATTAGGAATATTAACAAAAGAAGAAATGGGTTTATAGATGAATTTTTTATTTTATATTTGATAAATATTAATATGCAACATAAAAGACACCATCCACACAATCAAATTTATATATTTATGATAATACTGTACAGACTATTCTTTATTATATATGATTTTGAATACCGAATTAATAAAGACAGAAAGGATCAAAGAAAGAAAAGGAATAATTATAAATATTCACACCTTGAAATTTATTATTATTAACAATTTTCTTTGAATTTTTAATTTGAATTATTTTAATTCTATTACAATTAGAAAAAAAAATATAATCACCTACTCGTCATATTTCCTTTATTTCTTTTTTTTCATTAGGAAATTTAAATTCGAAACTATGATTGCATTGTCTGTAATCAATTTGTTTTCTTCACCAGTTTCAATTCGAAAAAGTAATACGCCATATCATGTGTAGCTAAAACAACACTCTTGATTACCACATTGGATCATAAATGTTTACTATGAACTAACATTGGACGTGTCAGAATTTTATTTTTTTAAAAAAGCTATAAAAAATTATCCAAATTCCAAAATAAAATATGAATACAAATTTGTGTGATCAGCCTATTTCAACGTTTATACATTTCCAAAAGGTATCTAGTCGTATTTACTTGATGGTCTTGAGCAATTCATGATCGAAGTTTTGCGAAGTGCCTTTTTCAAACAAATTTCTACGGGTCTAACAAGTTCTTATTTTTTTATTTTTTTTGATATATAATAATAATAATATTTTTAAATTTGAAATTCAATAGATAGATAGTAGACTCGAACCAAAACACGATCTATCTGAATCAAAGATTAAGCGTGCCCAAAGCTGCGTTTCCTGCGTATATTCATCGCACTAAACTAGCTAAATTAGTTGATATTTCATCAAGAAAAGTATAGTTAAAAATCCTTTTATGGATAGATCAGCGTTATACGCATTTAATGGATATTTCAAAAGATCGACAATTTAGATGTGGAAAGGTATTGTAAAATCGAAAAGTACCACTTAGAAGTCAAGCGTTATTAACTATATAACACCACCTCAAACTTTGCACAAATGTTCTATTATTATTTTCTATTCTGGGCGGAAAGTAACTTTTTCTGAGCAGAATTGAATTTTGAATTTTATTTCAGTCAAATTTGTTAATGATCTACATCTTTAATTTCCGTCAACTAAAGAATTATTTGATAAGCCACGTGATTTAATTATTTTGATTGGTAAACCTCATAGCCAATGATTGGATTTTATCAAAAAAGTTGATTTGGAACAGTTTATTAAGCACATAATATTCAATACATTGTTTTGAAATCATTGAAAATAAATAGCCTTGCTTCTGAGAAAACATTTAAGCAAATTATAAACAAGACAATGGCCATTATCTACTAGTGATGTTAGCCTGCTAAAAAAATTCCTCTTTTACATTCATTTTTATGTCTGGAATTCTCTCACAGCAGGATAAAAGTAATAGTCAGAGTTTCTATTCGTAATGCATATTCTTGTTTTAATTCAAATTATTATTATTCGTTTTAGTTTTATTTAAATTATTCGTTTTATTAGAATAAACTTCAATGTAATTCGAATATTCAAATTCATAATGAATAAAAAAATAATTCATTTAAACCATTACATTAAATAGTAATAATGACGGAATATTATAATAAATAGTAATAATAATGGTAGTAGTAGTAATAGTAATAATATCATCAAGCTTAGTACCATCCAAAAACTTTTTTCATCAACTTGGATTTATCTAAGTTCTTAGCCAGTTAAGAGTTATTCGGCTTAGCTAGCTAAGGTTTTTCTACTGGCTAACATCACTACCATCTACCTTCAATAATTATAATTTTCAATTGAATGTTTTCTTTCTAGCTTCAATTTGCATCAACAAGTTGAAATGTGTGTTAATATTATAAGTTTCTATGGAAGCATTTTTATCTCTAGTAAAAAAAGTTTTAATTTTTATTAAAAGTAATAATAAATTATATATGCTAGTCATAGAGTATGCAAATATTATCCCATTATTTATCAAAAAATTTTGATAAAATGGATTGGGATCTAAAGTTAAATTTGCTAAAGTGCTGTATAATCAAAGCTCATTATAGTAGATCTCATTATAATGATCTTTGCCTATGGTGGATTCCTTAATAAATCTCTTTATTGAGTATAGTGGACTTTGATATAGAATATACATTATAAATTAATGTTATTAATGTGATCTCTAAAAAAATTCAATTTCAGTAATGTGTGGCTTTCTTTGTTTAAATAATTGAATCATCCTTTTTTTTTTGGTGGCAGAAAAGCATTTTTACATTTTCAAAAAGGATTTGGTTGATTTCTTTACACATTATCTTCTTTTTTTTTAATGGTGTCAAAAAGACTTGGATGATCTTTTTAACAATAAAGAAATTGATTTATGAATTTTTGATGAATTAAATCTAAGATCCAATTACTGCAGAACTTTTTATGATGAAGTACTAGTAGAAGAACTAAATGACTAAGAAATTATTAGGCAGTGGAACCAAGTACTGAGATTGACAATCCTGATGAAGAGGAAGAAGTGAAACAATAGTTATTGAGAGGCATTAGTTAATCAAGAATTAAAAACAATTAATAGTTTAAAACATGTTCAAGATAATGCACATTAGACAGTTTTATTTCATAACTTGTTATTTATGTTATTTACTTTTTATTTTATATATATGTGTGTTATGTTATAAAGAACTTTTAATTTATTTATAATAAGTCCATCTACTATAAGAGGCTTTTCTTTATAGTGGAAATTCATTATAGTGGACAAAAATGTCTGGAACTGAGTGTCCACTATAGTAGGCTTTGACTGTATTTGCAAATTCTTCATTTTTATCAATAACTTCAATAACTTCCACTTCAGTAATAGATAATTTTGTATAAAATTTTGTGTTATTCTCCGATTATAAGAAAACAGTATTAGTACATGTAGTAGATCACTTGACTCAATCAGGTGACTTTTTGACACGTTTAAAAATTGGAATTGCCAAATTAATTTTGACAACATGTATAAAATAGAGCATCAAAATGGAATTTCCCACTAGATAAATATAGATATCAGAAAAATATATTTATGAACTTCCTTTTGAATTTGTGAAAATGTCATAGAGTATTCCTTGGGGTGGGCATTAATCTTGTATATTTGAAAATGAGAATCGCAGAAGATTAGACTCTCATCTCACTCATCAAAAAATGACAATGAAATAATGTCCAAAGAAGACAAAAATATGGATGGAGAAAGTATCAGGGAAGTTAGTATTCTTCTCAAAGAGAGATGATTATGTTTAATCAAGTGAAAAAAAAATCATATCATTATTCTCGGAAATTATTAATTTGTTAATCCTTTGGCCTATAATAATCTATAAATGTATCATAAATATTTGCAAATATGATGTTTCATATAATAATAATTCTAACTCCTTGAAATCTGCTTCCAACATGACCAGTTTCATCTCAGAGAGGGATGATATATATACCAAGGTTGTTAATTATCTAAGGCTTAGTGTTTTGCTTCACAAGTTCCCTTCCAGAAGACAATAAGCATAGCAATAGCAATAGTAATAGTAATCAGTTTTCTATGGATAATCTTGGAAGAAGCTGATATGGAATATTACATTAGCCTTTTTATTTGAACAATTATGAAGAAAGTTTTCTTGAGATTTCTTACCTGCCTATAGAGATTTTGCTACTGACTTATTATGTAAAATGGGCAATCTGACAAGACGAAGATGGATTTAACAAGATTAGTTATTTGGCTAACAATCACCGAGTTAAATTTATTTTTGATTCTCTAATTTAGCCCGAATTAAATAAATCCGATAGTTAATTTATGAAATTGCTTTCTTTCCTGCTGGATCCAATCCAGCCGATTTTTATAAAATTAAGGTCTTTGTGGGACTCTACAAGGAGCTCATGATGCTTCTCCACTCCATCGATGATTCACAATAAGGCGAAAATGAAGATCCTAATATCCAAGATTGTTTCGAGCAATTCGAGAACAGAGTTTGCGGGCAAACAATAGGTGGAGTGAGTGGAACAAAGAAATATAAATTACGTAAAAAATTCCAAACTCTAAAATAAAAAATAATCTGTAGGATAGGTCACCAATGTATCAAAAATTCGGTGGGCTACCAGAGTGTTAGAATACCAAAATATGGGAGATAAATGGTAGATAAAGAATAGATATTATGCAATAAAGAGTCTAGAATCAAAAAACATAGAACACTTTTGATGACCATTGAAAAAATCGAATAATGAATGTCATATTTCGGCACTACATGCCTCGACCAAATGTATCGTGAAAAGCAAAATTCGGATTATCATTTCGGCGCTACATGCCTCAACCCTCGCATTCGAATGTATCGTAAAAATCAAATCGCGAACTCCATTTCTATATCCCTCAAACCCGGCTCTCGAATGCAACATAAAAAGCATGTTTTTTTTGCCCACAAGTGAGAATAGCGAGTCTATTTATATGTTTCGTAGTAATTTAATAGACTACTCGATCAATGCACTATTTGGCCGCAAAATGGCTCATTTTATGAAATCATTGATCTCTGACACGCAACATACATTTCATGGCACACGTGATGTATTAATGTATTGGCAAGCTAGGATGCTTCGCATCTAGTTCGGCAATGCTCTCCTCACATTCAACACAAGAAGGTTTAGCAACACCATGGAAGTCAGAAACCTCATTATTATGCGTGATATTGAATACAAGTTAGAATGCCAGGATGCTGTGCATTCCTCGCCACATGGTGCCTCGAATAACGTGCATTCATAAATCATACATATATTATTGGTCTGACGTGGCATTCACGAATACATGCCGGACCAATGAATGACACATGATTTATGAATTGCAAACCACACCCGAGTTAGGCCAAGTCGTTTTTAATATATATATATATATTAAAAAGGACATAATTATTCAACCAGAACGCAATAATGCTTACTCTGGAGGGCTGACAAGTTTGACAGATTGCTTGAAGAAAAGGCACGATAACTTGGAAAATATAATTTAATTCTTAAGAAACAAGAGAGAAATTCTCAAAATTATATTTTGCTACAAAACCTGCAAAAGTCAACTTTACACTTTATTGTTTCGTTACGATGTAGTACTTTACATTTTTCTATTACCACATTAATATAAATCATGATGAGATGGATGATAAAAGATGGCAAAAAAATTTTTTTTGTTATTAAAAATAAATATTTTATTTAAAAATCTTCTATTGCATTTTTTACACATAATTAACTTTATTTATGGAATGTTTTATTGTTTATTCTACATGTATATTACCAATATCGTAAAATAATTGATCTGCTTCTTCTTTCTTTTCGGAATAACCTTTAGTAAATCAATCAATCAATATTGATTAATAAATAAATAAAAATGAACGATTTTTAATAAAAAAATAAATAATTCAAATACCCCATTTTGATAACAAGTCTACCAATCCTTTTATTCGAATCCACCAGGCTTTGGTGCTTGTACGTTTATCCATATCAGTTTCTGACAATAAATCAATAACAGGCTATGCATACAAATATATATTCATGTAAATATTAATTATTACATATTGTTTTTATCCTATAAAGCAAAAAAAAATTTTAAATAACATTTCACCCTATAAACAACGTGTGCACCATCTATTCCAATCACAGCAGCAGATTCTTTAACTTTGGTATAAATTCTTGGTTTTACAGAAGAAATTTTATGATTTGACAAAGACGGTTGTGGTAATGATAAATTCGCTGGTGTAGCAGAAGTTGAAGAAAATGCATAATTTTCCAAGAATTTAACACACTTTACTGCAAGTCTAGTTGCTCGAATACGATCTAAAGGTGATGGTGTAGAACCTTGTTGAATATGACCTAAAATAGTTGTTCTGCAATCAAATAGTCCATGACCTTCAGTTTTAACAATATCGGCTATTACATTTGTCGTATAAGTAGTAGATACACGTTCATTTCTATATTAAATATATTTGATATATGATTAAAAACGAGAATAATTTTATACTGATGCCTTTAAGCTAAAAATTTTTGTAATAGAATTATCAAGTATCATACCTAAGAATTAAACGTCCTGAACTTACACCTTTTACATCTTCACCAAACCTTCTATTCAAATGATTAATATCTGATTGAAGAGTCTTTAAAGATAATCCTACTTCTGGAATATATGTACTTGTTGCTCCAACCTATACATTTACATATATATAATAAATATATATTTATTTCAATCTTTACATATGAAATTTTTTTAAAATTATCCACAATCGTGTTATTACCGCAAGTCCAGACAAAACCGTCAAATAACCACAATTACCACCATGCAATTCAACTACAAAAACTCTTCTTCTGGAAGCGGAAGCAGATTGTTTAATTGCATCACAACAGTCAACTACAGCATTTAAACTCGTATCGCTGCCCAAAGAAAAATCAGTGCCAGGAACATTGTTTGATATGGTAGCAGGTAAACAAATCATTGGAATACAAAATGCAGGATAACTATTCCGAGCATTATACAATTTAATGAGTGAACTGTAAGCTTCAAACCCTCCAATCAATAGTAAAGCATCAATTCTGTGTTTTTGAAATTGATATGCCACCATTCCAATGTCCACATCAGGTTCGCTTCGATTAGTGCCAAGTTCTGAGCCACCTTTAGCAATCCAGCCATCAACATCTATCCAAGAAAATTCTCGAAGGTTGTCTTCTAAAAGACCCTTGAAACTATTAAATATTGCAATAGGAGTATGTCCTCGATTAAGTGCATAAGAAACGGCTGCACCTGTTGCTGAACTCATTCCACTAGCTGGTGCACCAATATGAATTATACCAATACGAAGACGCTAAAAACACATAACAAAAATTAGAAAATATTAATATAAATAAGAGATTTTTATTGAAAATTGATCCAACTTTATATTCTTCTAATTTGGATCCATGGCCATCAGTGAATGAGACTGCTTGGTATATCTCATAAGAATCAATAAATTCTGGATCACGTAATTTCATAGCTTGTTTAAAATCTTTTTTTTCAATAGCCTTTGCAACTTGGTGTGTCTGTAACAAAAAAATCAACCAATTAATTTACAATAAATAACATGTGATTCTTATTGCATAATCACATACTAATTCAACAGCCTTCATTAAAGGTTCACATGTAATCTTGTTTTCTTTTATACCAATCATAGGTGATTCACAATCAGGTGTTGTATTAAGAACAGCTTTTACTGCTTCATAACCTTGTAAAGTTGCCTTTTAAAAAAATATATATTTCTTTTTCAATATAGTTAGATAGTGGTAATTCATATATTATATAAATTTATTATTATTTACAAGATTTCTATCATAGACACATGGTCTTCCACCACGTTGTATATGACCCAATGTTGTAACTCTGGTATCAAGACCCAAATTAGTCGTTAAAAGATCTTTGATATAATCAGCTTTTATTGGATGTAAGTTTTTATCAGTGGCTCCTTCTGAAACAATCACAATAGTTCTGAGTTTTCCAAGATCGCGGTGCTAGCAAAACACATTCATTTATTTGAATTTGAATTTGATTTTGATTGAATTATAATAATAATCTAAATCTATTTTTATGAAAAGTTAAATATATTTACATTTTTAATGGTTTGACACATTTCCTCTTCCCAATTATCTGATGATGGTGGATTTTCAGGAATAAAAACAAAATCTGCGGTAGTGCTACATATTTATTGTATGGTTTAAAATAGATTTTGATCAATTTACGCCCAAATAAATTGTGAATCCTCCCCTTCCATATCTATTATACCTGATTGCTGCCATTAATGCCAGCCAACCACAATTTCTTCCCATAACTTCAATTATAAAAGCACGCGAGTGACTATAAGCTGTAGATGCAATACAGTCAACAGCTTCACAAATTCGATGCAATGAAGTGACAGCTCCAATAGTTATATCAGTTGATGACATATCATTATCAATTGAACCAACCATTCCTACAATTGTTAGATGACTATGAGATGTTGCCTCTTCCTCTGTAATTCTTCCTGTTCAAAGAAATTTTTATAAAGATGTGTTTTAATATTAATGCCACCAAGAACCAGATGACGTTTCATATTTAATCATTACCCAGCTTAACTAATTCTTCTACCAATCCAGGCCATTCGGATCTAAAAATATCTGCACCAGTCAATGAACCATCACCTCCACACACAATTAATGCGTCTATTCCATTCCTAATCAAATTGTGTGCTGCTTTTAGTCTGCCATCATGTTCACGAAATTCTTTACAGCGAGCAGTTTTTATAAGTGTGCCACCCTAAATACAAATTTTTGTGTTGGTCAAAAAAATTTTTTAAAAAATTGGAATGAATTATATTTTATTTATCCTTGGAACCTATTTAGAATTCAAATTTAAAATTTTCTTCGACTCACTAATGCTAAATAACCTCTAACATCACCCCATCCAAATTTTTTTATTTTATCGCCGCCTTGAACCAAGCCTATATCATAATGGTTTTGTTACATAACCACAAATAATAAATAAAAATGCTCTTAAAATACATATATATAATACCTTGATAACCCTCGAAAATTGCGTATGGTTCACACCCACGTGAAATAGCAACTCTTACAATCGATCTAACAGCAGCATTCATTCCAGGTGAATCACCACCGCTCGTCAATATCCCAATTCTTTTTTTCTTTTCGTTGATAGTATAGTCCATCTTAGATATATTTTTCCTCTCTAGCTGATCCTATATAGCAGATCGACGTTTCATAAAAATCTGATGATAATTTATGTGTAACCTACGAATTTACTTTATTAGGCGTAGCCTATATATGGCCGCAGAACTAAAAAAATACAATCGTTAAGATTGGTCATCAGAACTTACTGCAACTGACCCCGAAAAATTACATATCGGTAAAATCATTTTAGACTTGGTCTACATTTAGATTTTTTTGTGTATTGTCATATGTGAAAGAAAGGCAAAAGGGAACAATAACAAAAAATTATTTCCAAATTTGAAAACAAAAAACAATAAAATTTTTCTATTATTATTTATATACTATAATATTAAATGACACCTATGTGTAACACAACACGGGAAAAACCCATAAATAAATTGATTATTAATTACCTTTTGTCAATTGTAAGTACTGTTAAAATTACAGTTATTATGTCAAGAAGAGACCATAATCCTAACAATTACCGAAATTTTGACAGAAATAGCCGTGGTGGTCGTGGTAGTCGTGGTAATAATAGGGGTGGCAGACATAACAATCAACAACGTTTTAGCGCGCCCATTTCGCCGCGAGATGTTGAGAATAGACAAATTGAAACATTAAACCAAAATTTTGGTTCTTCCGAATTATCGTATCGAGGAAGTGAACCTATTGTATTCATTAAATCTAGTTATGAATTAGACGGGCTTTGGAAAAATTATATAAAAAAGAAATTCAATGATCAACATCAAATCAGACGGTTCATTAGTTCTTGTCTTCTTACAGCTAATAAAAAAGCTGGTCATGATGTCGAAAAATTAATTTCTGAATTAGGAAACAATGATGGATTATTGCAAAGAATAAGAGAAATATTAGAATATGAAGTATCTGTTGATGCTGGTGTTCAAGCTAATGTAGCATCATTTCAACGCGTCATTTTACCATTTATTGCTTTATTAATACGTTCAGCTATTATTGATAGTGTTTTAGAAACAAATGTTCATGCAGTTTATTACTTGATCTATAATAATTTGGTACAAATTTTTTTTTTAAAATTTATAATTATTATCTCATTACTAAAATTTTTGTTTTTAATTATTGAATTAATAAAAGGATTCGTTCCTTTTACAAAAAGTTATTCCAATGTTAGACATCATTGTTCAGAGAAATTCAATAGCAGATAATCATACGAGTCAAAATAAATTATTGGAAGATGACGCTATCTCTTTTATTCCAATTTCGTACGTCTAAAATTTATATATATACATCATATTATTTGTATTAGAAAAAAAATTTAATTTTTTTAATTTTTTAGAATTGGCCAATTCTTCTTGACTTTAGTAAGATTTATTAATGAATTATTAACCCGTGTTAAAGAAGCATCAATAAATGAGTCAATGTATAAAGTGATAGAAAGATTGGAAAATCTCAAAACATCATGGAAAAATTCTTTCAATAATAGAGTTACAAACGAACAAAATGACCCATTAAACTCAAATGAAGAAGGACGTGAATACTTCTTTGAGATCCTAGATCAAGAATTCAATAACATAAAAAAACATTTAAAAATTCAAGGGGGAAAAACAAGTAACTTACAAAAAACTTCATCAGAATCAAAATCTTCATCACAATTATATAAAGGATGTGGAGAGTTTGCAGCTTTAAAAAGAGATTATGATCCACCAGGTATCTCTTCTTGATATACAATAATGACAATTTTAATATGTTTTAATTATCAAACAACATAAATAAATGATTTTTTTATAATAGGAACTTTGTCAAAGCTTGGACCTCGTCATGATAATGATTTTGAAGAATTCACCAAGATTCTAATTGTTCCTACAAAAGATGAAATTCTTTGTAAACGCAAACCTTTCATCCCGACATTTAACATTCCTAGAAGTTTAGAATTATATTGGATTCAAGATAATGCCACAAGACTTTTAGATGCTCAATTTAGATTACTTCGTGAAGACATGCTTTGTCCTATTAAAAATGGTATAACTCATTTTTTAAATTTTATGTCTGATAAAAAAGCTGAAAATCAAACAAAAATCAAACAATACCATAATGATGGTGGTAAATTTAAACATAATGATGGTGGATTACATGTTTATTCCAATATCATGTTTGAAAATATTCCAGTTGATAAACACCGTGGTTTCATACTCAAAGTTTCCTTTAAACAGCCACACATGAGATCAAAAAACAAAGAGAGTCGAAAACTGTATTGGAAAAAATCTAATAAATTGATGAATGGAAGTTTGATATGTTTATTATTGCCAGCAAATGAACAAGCAAGTTTTCAAAAGATCAATGATCAGTATTCATTTTTTTTTGGAATTGTAGCATCAAGAGATGAAACAGATTTGTGCAAAGAACGAGCAGAAATTGGAATTGAATTTATGGATAATTCTGTTTACCCAGTTGCCATCAGACAATTGTTTTCAAAACATGACAAAAGAAATAATTTTACCTCTTCAAATTTTATGGTGGAATCTGCCGGAGTATACTTTGAATCATATTATCATGTTCTTAAGACTATCCAGAGTACAAACCCATCCACATTACCATTCATACAATATCTAGCACCAACCATAAATGATGATAAATCAATTGGTGTCCAAGCTCCTGTTTATGCGAGAGCGCCAAATTTTTATTTTGATTTATCAATTTTGCTTGATGATAAAAGCAAGAGACTTTACTTAAATGTTAACGACGTTAATTCTTATCAAAATGTTATCAAGGAACTTCAATCAAACAGCCAATTGGATGATACTCAAGGTAAATTAATATACATTACTACTTAAATCAATATATTATTCGGAAATAATACTAACGTTATTAATAATATTAGCTAAAGCCTTGGTTTTATCACTTTGCCATGAGATTGCATTAATTCAAGGTATAACTTTATTAACAACCTAATACATATACCATGGCGTTAAATTTTATTTATTCGCTTATTTAATTACTGGTTTGTTTTAGGTCCGCCTGGAACAGGGAAAACATTTGTTGGTGTAGAGCTAATGAAAGTTCTTCTTTCACGTGAAAATCATACTAAAGGAAAATTTGGTCCGATTTTGGCTATATGTTTCACAAATCATGCCCTGGATCAATTTTTGGAGGTATAGATAGCGTTAATTATACCTTCTTTTATTTTGCATTTAAATAAATTTATTAATTTATTTTTATTTTATTTTTTAGCATTTATTGGATAATGGCTTTGATAAAATTGTAAGATTAGGCAGTCGTTCCAAATCAGACAGAATAAGACAATATAATATTGAAGAATTATACCATATGAATAAATTTAGACCACTTTCATCCTATGAATTAAAAGAAAGACTTGGAAAAATTAAAATAAAAGTAGAAGACCTTCAGATGAAATTGACTTATAAACAACTCATGTGGCATAATATTTCCAGATATTTAAGGCAAAATTTTCCAATGTATTTTAGAATATTTAATGGACAAGATGACTCTCCGTTTTTTTTGTTCGATGCTGATGATGATGATGATTATTATGATGATGAGCAATTTAGGATAGTCGGTAAAAAAAAATCTAAAAATAAAGATAATAAAGATAAGAGCATCTTTGGACAATGGTTAGCTGGTCGAGACATAGATAATGCAAAAAGTTGGGTAGATTTTTTCAATAACCCGACACCAGTCAAAAAGGATGATAAACAACACAAACAACGCCTAAATAATAATATTTATGAATCACTCAACTTGGATTCTCAAGAATCAAACGGAATAAATTATTCTAAATATTATAATGATGATAATTATAATGATGATAATTATTATGGTGATAATTATAATGTACAGGAAGATTATGACGATTATGAAAATGATTATGAAACTTTTATTGATCCAGAGTTAAAAGAATTTATTTCATGCTGGAAAGAACCAAAAGGTGACAGACCAATTGAAGAATTGATTAAAGAGGCTAATGTGTGGAAAATGTCAATTATTGAACGTACCAAGTTACATGATTTTTGGTTAGATCGTTTACATGATCATTGGATAGATTTACTTTATCGATATAAAAAAAGTTATGAAGGATTTGCAAAACAGGTTGATGAAATATATAATCAGAATCGGCGTAGAATTTTGGTTAATTGTCAAGTTATAGGTATGACCACCAATGGAGCAGCTAAATTTCAATCACTGATCCGATCCATATCACCCAGAATAATAATTTGTGAAGAAGCTGGCGAAGTACTTGAAGCACATATATTAAGTTCTTTATCACCTTATACTCAACACCTAATATTAATTGGTGACCATCAACAATTACGACCACATTGTGCTACTTATGATTTATCAGTTGAATCAGCGATAGGCAAGCCTTATGGATTGGATATAAGTCTTTTTGAAAGACTTGTTGAAGGTGGTAATGCAATGAAATTAGAGAAATGTCAATTGACAACACAAAGACGTATGAGAGCAATGGAAATATCAGATCTTATCAGAAATACATTATATCCAGGTTTAATTGACAGTGAACATACATTTAATTATGAAAAAGTCCGAGGAACACCCCATAATGTTTATTTCATCAATCATCGCTATCAAGAAGACAGGAATGTTAGTGAGCATGCATTACAATCTCATTCCAATCAATATGAGGTTAATATGGTTGTTGAAATGGTGAAATATTTTATTAAAAATGGGTATAAAAAACCAGGTGATATTGCAGTTTTGACACCATACCTTGGACAATTGATGAAGCTTCGAGACGCCTTGTCTGAATCTATTACGGTGGTTATTGATGATCGTGATAGACAAAACATTGAAGATTTTACTGAAGATGGTGAAGATGGTAAGGATGACAGCGATAGTCAGAAATTAGATGATAATGGCAACAATAGTAATGATTTTGGCGGGAACAATGTTGAAATTATTAAAACAAACTTAAACCAACAGGTTATATTAAGAACTGTTGATAATTTTCAAGGTGAAGAGGCAGACATAGTTATCATATCACTTGTTCGGAATTCTTTGGATGCAGAAGATGAAAAATTTGTCGCCAACAGCAAAACTTTAAAAGATCATAATCAAAGAGAGACTATTGGATTTTTAAATATATATAATCGTACAAATGTTTTGTTGTCTCGTGCAAGACATGGCATGTATTTATTTGGTAATTCTGAGTTAATGTCAAGAAAATCACCAAAAATGTGGAGACCAGTTATTGACATGTTGAAACAACGAAATCCACCACAAGTTGGATTTGGGTTTCCTATAGCATGTGATAATCACTCTGAACATGTTAATATTATTACTGAAGCTTATCAATTTGAGAATGTTTCACCTGATGGAGGATGTCGTCTACCTTGCACACATAAATTACCTTGTGGTCATGCATGTAAGTTTTTTCTTTGAATAAATAAATACGATGATAATTATTATTAAATCAATCTTTATTATCAAAATTTTTTAGGCCCATTAAAATGTCATTCTGATAATTCAAGACACTCTATAATGTTTTGTGAAAAGAAATGTTCAAGATTATACCCTGGATGTAGACATCCATGTGATAAACTTTGTGGAGATGATTGTGGAAAGTGTATGTTCCCTATTGATGATTTGATATTACCATGTGGGCATATTTATGAGAATCCAAGGTGTCATGAAGTTTCTGATTTATCTAATATAAAATGTCGAAAAATTGTTAAACATGTTTTGCCAAATTGTGGACATGAACATTCGATGATGGTAAGATGATATAATATATATGTGTTATTTGCATATTTTTTTTATGATTATTTTTAATAATTGATTTTTTTAAATGTTAATTATTTAGTGCTTTTTACCAGTTGATTCATATAAATGTAGAGAATTATGTAAAGGGAATTTACCTTGTGGGCATGTTTGTAAGTCATTTTGTTCACAATGTGTAGGAAAATCAATTAAAATTAATGACCAAGCTGAGTTAGATTCAAATGGTTTTGTTGTGAAAACAAAACATGAATCATGTAGAGAACTTTGCAATAAAATGTTAAAGTGTGGGCATGTTTGTAGAGAAATTTGCCATATTGGAAAAGAATGCGGAAATTGTAGACAACTTTGTGGTCTTGGGTGTTCACATATTAGGTGCAGAGAATATTGTAATGAGCCATGTAAAATTTGTTGGGGAAAATGTGATTGGTATTGTGAACATCAAGGAAATTGTGAATCATTATGTTCATTGCCTTGTTCACGTTTACCTTGTGATATGAAATGTAGAAAGAAGTTGGAATGTGGGCATGATTGTAATGGCGTTTGCGGTGAAGTTTGTCCCAGTAAAAAATATTGCATAATGTGCGCATCTAATGATGTCAAAAAACAAGGTAATTTGATTATTTTAACATGGCATTAATTATAATTATAAGTTTTGATTTTGATTCCATTGTTATTTTTTTAGTTGTTGATGACGATAAAAAATTCGAGGAGATTGATTGGAATGTTAATAATATGATTGTGCTAGAATGTGGTCATGTCTTTACAATGAAAATGATGGATGAAATTATGAAAATTCAAAAATATTATAATAAATATTTAGATCAATGGAAATCGACTAATTCATTTATTACAGAACCAGAGCATCTAGAACCTTGTCCAAATTGTCAATATCCTATTAAGAATGTACGTAGATATGGTAGAATTATTAAAAAATCTATAATCAATTTACAAAGAAAAAATTATTTGCCCAAATGGACCCATCAGTTTAAGAGCATTAGTGGAAATTTTAATGGTCTTTACAATAATTTAAAATCAAACGAAAAAGGATTTTTAAGAACTTTGCAAAATGTTATTAGAAATCATGATAATCAGTACTACACTAAAAAAACAAAAGGCACCAACTCTTTTATTGTCCAAGCTTTTGAATTACGAAATTTAAAAAATTTATACGATATTCCCATTAAATATCAAAAATTATGGAGAAAACATATTAATTCATATTTAAATAATTATGAAAACCTATACAAGTTTATATCCGAGAGAAGATTTTCACCTCATATAAATGCTTTCTTTCATTCATTAAATGAAATGTAAGTAGATGCATTCAAATCATCAAAATTTTGAATTTTTATTTCCTTCCCAAAGAAAATAAAATTTAATTTAATTATTATTATTTGTAGATGTAAATCCAAATATGGAATGACATTGACGGATAAATTTGGAAAATTTTCTGTAGATGAACATGGATCTAATGCTTCAAGAAATAGGGAAGATTTGCAATTGATTGTTCAAATGATAGGTGGAAATTCTATATTGAAAACGGATAAAAGTTTCTACGTTGATACATTGTTTACACTTTTTGATGTTCAAAAAACTATGCTTAATGAAATTAATAGAGTAATTCTCATGATTATCAAAAACACAAACAATAACAACAACAGTAACAATGATGCTAAAAATTGGATCCAATTTGGCAAACGTATTTTCAATTCTATGAGAACGATTCGTCTAATTGCTCAACAAACTATGGAAAAAGATTTAAAAGGAGATGAAAGAAATAAATTGAATTTTGCTAATATATCATTAGACCTTTTGGAGATTGAATGTACATTTAATAAATTTCAATTTTTGGGTATTAATATTAATAAGACGAATGATTACACGCTTCAATTGGAGAAAGATGAAATTATAAAAAATTTGAGCGAGATCAATAAGAAATGTACAACTATCAAAGATTCCAAGCCTGTTAGTTTTGTCACCAGGAAAGCAGAAAAAGTTTGTAAAGATAATGAAACTTATGAAAAACTTATTAACCAAGAGGTATTTGAAGAAATAGGAGATCTTAATACAATATTAAAGAAACTTTTTAAAGAAGAATTTACAAGTATATTAGCTATTGAACGTGGCTCTAAAATCAAATTTGCTGGAATGATTGATGACGACAACGACGAGGATGAGGATTTTGATAAAGAATTGCTTAATAACGAACCCATTGTAATTCCTGATGAAGATCTTGAGGATATTGTATTAGATGAATAAATAACAATAATAATAATTTATTTGTAATTTTTATAATAATTTGTAACAATATTAAACAGTGTAAAAAATATAATATTTTCATGATTTAATTTTTTACAAAGCCAAGTTATCATTGAAATTGATAAATTGTATTAATAAAAAATGTTTCATGTAGTAAATCTTTTATATTTAAAGTATGAATTATTATCAGTTGATCATAATCAGTTAAATCAACTGATTGGTAAAATTTTAATTTCGTTACAGTGGACAGTTTCAAAATTTTTAATGTTAGTACATATTATGGATCCTTTTTCTAATGTTATTGCAAACTTTAGGGAATTTTTGTTACTAACCTATCTATGAAGTTTGCGGGGGTCCTATATAGACATATATAAAACGGCCTAACTTTGAAGCCTTATAACTAAAACTTTTCTAATAAAATGAAAAAGTAAACCCAATTGAAATGAAGCTTAGGTCTTTAACTTTAATTCTATCGATTTTTTGATAAGGAGGCTTTTAAAGTCATGTGATAATCATTGACCATTGTAATATATAGATAAAAAAGAATTAAACGTCATTCATTTTTGGGGCGATCTATACCCTTTTTTAATGGCTCTTTTGATCAAGAACGGTAATGCTTTGAAAATTACAAACATTAATCGATCAACAATAGTAATTTGTCATGTGACAATTGCATTTATAATTTTTTTCAATAAAAATAATAAATGTCTACTTTAAGTGTTGACACTGAAAAAAATAAAGACAAGATTGACCAAATCATCAA